AATACAACAGCCCGATAATTGCATTTCGAACAGCTGATTTAACAGCTTCTACCTTAACAGAGGCGACCTCTATCGGATTTCTGTAAACGTAACATTGTTAAATGATCTTCTGTTAACACATCCTCAAACAACATTTTTGTTTTTAACGACTTTTAAAAAATGGGTTTTGGCCAACCAAAAGCATCGGAATATACATATGTAGGTACATACTCACAAAGATTTTTATTAAGAATTTAGTTTAACAATTAATAAAGAATTTAAGTGTTTAGGACTAAGCGAACTACACCTTTCATCTAAAATAAAGTGTAGGGCGGAGGAATCCCTTTCCATGGATACTTGCGTGGCTGGTGTGCCAAAAGTGGTCATTTAAATTTTAAATTGTTAAAAAATTGTAAAATATTTCCATTTAATAGTAAACGGCCATTGGCTATGTCAAAATTCTCAATTTCAGTATATAATTTGGACAGCTGGTCAGTTGCTGGCTTTTCTTCGGCTTGGGACAGCGTTTGAACTCCATCCAAATATGTCGCGAACAGGGACTTTTCCACGGAGCTAGTTGTAGCAAATGATTCTTGATCTTCAAGCCAAATAGGACAATTCATCTCCAGAGTGCGGTGTCAGATTCTATCAATAAGAAGGAATTTAATACAATATATTTATAAACACGATTTACGATCTAGTTTAAGACAGACACAATATACATAATATCTGAATCACACTAACTATAAACAAAGTACACAATAGTAATATAACAACATTAAGAAGGACTCTTCAACCATACTGGATTTTTTTGAGAAGTAGCATACATGCTTGAGGTGGTGAAAGCGGAATGCAATTTGTTTGAAAAGTTTTTTCGCCAACAGTCAACACCAAAACAAGAGAGAACGCTATAGTCGGGCTGCTGTCCGACTATCTAATACCCGTCACTCCACTAAAGGAATTGCGATTGCGCATAACTTTTTAATGAATGGTACGATTTGAAAAATGTCTTCTACATTTCGATAGGTATAAATATACACAACAAAATTGCATTTATACTTCTCGGAAATCTTTAAAGATTTAAGCGCCAGACACATTTTAAAATCGTTAGTGGGCGATTGTGGGCATTAGAGGGGGCGTGGCGCTCGGCTGAAATAAACTTGCGCTGCGTGGGAAGCCAAAGATTCAGACTTAATTTTTTCCAGAATTTTAGGTCTTGTGGTTTTGGCTGGGGGAACATGACGCAAATTGACATCTACTCTTTTATACACCCAAAAAAAAATCCTGAGTGTCAAGTTGATACTTGTGGTTCAAAATGTCACTGCCCCTAGGATCAAATTTTTAGGGTCAAATTGATCCCAAATGAGTGTCAGAAGTATACCGCATTTCTCAATAAATTGAACTTGATAAGAAATATTGTCATTTTAATGACACAAGGGTCATACTGACAGCAATAATTGTCATTTATCGATTTCTGATGTTCGAACTTCTATTTTCGAAGTTCGAAATGTGCCTATCGCGAAGAAACGCAGCTATTGCGCTGTCACTGTGAGTTCGAAGATAAGAAAAACAAGACGCGTTTTTTGTGTGTTAAGTGTTTTAAGTGTTTAAAAATCAGGTGAGTACATTCTTAATACGATAATTACACTAAATTAAGTATGCTCAATATATGTGAGTGAGTAATTTGTATAAATCAGTTTAAAATAATGTGCAATAGGAAAATTATAATTAGGGGAGAGTGGGGGAATTTCGTCACAGGGGCAATTTCGTCACCTGCAATATCTCGGAATCCATAAGTCGTAAAAATATATAATTTTTTTGTTTTAATCCTTCAAGACGGCCAGACACAACCAATGCATTTGTTTTGCACAGAAGGCCAAGATAATTAAGCTATAATATTAAATGTGTTTTAACAGTTCAAAAGCTACATTTAGTTCTCGACGAAATTTTTTCTGTATGCCACAATTCAAAAGGAATAAGATACACGATTTTTTATATAATACACAGTGCTATAATGTGCATTTCTGCGTCAGTGATTTTTAACTTCGCGCCTAATTTCGCAAGAAAAATAATTATTTCTAAAAAAGTACGGTCTGGGGAAATTTCGCCACCCTACGCTAAGGGTAAATTCGCAACTATTTTAAATACATATTTTTATATTTGACGAGCTGGCTAACGAACAGACTACCAGCAGCAGCAACAAATATAGGACGTCAACAAAAATGGTACGCTTTATCAGTGTAGCATATTTTCAGGCGTTAAACTCCCTACATTTTTCAGGTGACGAAATTTCCCCAGTTGTGTGGTGATTTTACCCCCCTGTGTGGTGAGATTGCCCCAGTATATTGGTTTTACATTTTATTTTTTTATAAATCACCAAGCTAATTAAAAAAATAGGGGAATGTCACATTTTAAAGCTTGGTGCTAACCGCATTCAACAATAAAAATAAAAATATGATAACGTGTCTCAAGATGGACATAAAATAGCTTTGAAAAAATGCTGACGAAATTCCCCCACTCTCCCCTACATATGTGCACATTACTTTAGTAAAACAAGACAGAATAAAAGGACATTAATAATATTATCTTTTCATACTGTGATGCTTTAAGCATGCAAAGACTCAGAGAAGCGTTTAATTTGATTGCTCGATATATTTTTAACCTGAACCGTATTGAGCACATTACAAGACACGCTACGAACATCTTTGGACTAAGCTTTGAGTCATGGATTAAACTTAGAACCCTTCTATTTCTCCACAAAGTCGTTATATTCAACGAACCCCCTTAGTTGATGGAGCACTTGCAATTGGCAACGTCTTCTCGGACTAATAATTTAATCTCCAAAAGGATAAAGCTATCAATAGCCGAAAAACATTTTTTCGTTCAGGCTATACGCTACTGGAATGACCTCCCTAATAATATTAAAAACCTAAGGAACGCAACGCAATTTAAAAAAGATCTTACCAATTATTTGAAAAGCACAACATCATCATAATACTATTACTATTACACTCTATCTGTTTAATTTAAATTATCTAATGTTAAACGTAACTATTTTTCTTTGTTTATTTTGTATTCCTCTTTATTAATTTTGTATTAGCTTTTAAGTTTTGTAAAATACCCTATTATAAATTTTTCCAAAGTGACCGATGTAATAATTTATAAGACCTAGTCTTGTCGCATCGGGATAAAACAAATAAATAAATTAATTAATTATTGTTCCTATGGGAGCTATATGATATAGACGTCCGATCGGCACGCGCTTTTACCCTGATCAAGGTATGCGTTAAAGAATAAGATTCATGTCAAAAGCTCTTACACTGAGCGAAATATCTTCGGGTCGGCTTTCAAACTTGATCTGCGTACGCATGTTTTAGGACGACTGTGAAAGTTTTAAGTCGCTAGCTTTTAAACTGAGCTCGCAAACGGTATTGAAACAGACGGACATGGCTATATTGATCCTGATCAAGAATATATATATACGGAAACGTCTCCTTCACTGCGTTACAAGTGCGGCTGAGGGTCGTGAAAGAGTAATGCAAATCTAAAACAGGTACTTTATCCTCCAAATACTCAACTGAGAATTTTAACAGGTAGTATTTATAAACATGAATGGATCAATAGTTTCTATGGTTTCAATGTTGGTACCTGGGTAGAAGGGTTACGTTTTTTGAAACACTTTTTAGGGTTTGGGGCATAACAGGTATTTTTCGCAACCTGCTCCAATTTTAAACCTGAAACACTTGTCGCAATTTGAAAAATTGCTCTCCTCCTCGAATCTCATATTAGGTATAAAAAACGACACCCAGAACGCACAATTAGTCTATTTTTGTGTGAAAAGTAAAGTGAAAAGTTGTGCGCGATATTTGAAAACGCTTACAGTTTTCCAGTACAAGTGTGAATCGTAAATAAAAGCGAAGTGGCATTGCACGAAGGTCTGTGACTTTGTGCTTTTGTTCATCCTGTGAGTTTTGTTGACAGTCTTTTTTAATACTTGCAAAATTTCTTGTCACGGAGGTTGGTGCATAAGTGTGTTCAGTTCTGTGACTTTTCAAAGCAAAAATTCGATAGTATCAATAGTATGGTCATATCTACTTCATTTTTTTCCCATACAAAGGTTTTTTGTCTTTTAAGTTAAATACATAATAAAAAGAGAAAAAAAAACAAAATTATTCTACCTTATCATTAACATAAATTATAAGGTAACTTCAACACAGATCATAAAAAATTCAAGTCATTTTTAATATAAAATTAAAAAAAAATTATTCTATCCAGGAATTTTTCTGCAAAAACATTATTCGCGTTTATTATTTTAATTACATTTTCTCTTGAGATTCCAAACTTGTCCATGCTTAGCCCCACCACCACCTTTCAATTTAAGTTAAGCTAAAATGCGCTTTTAGGAAAGATATAATATTAAATTTTTTCAATTTCTCTTACCCAAATTCGCAACCAAACCTCGTGTGATGTTGTAATGTCAGTGATGTGAAAAATGCCCAGTACTATGAATAGTAGAGGTGGAGAAACATCGATGTTTTCGATGTTTTAACAGGCAAACATCGATGTAACATCGAAAAACATCGATGTTTCTCCACCTCTAATCAATAGCGTCAAAAAACTATCGATGGTGAATCAGAAAGGAAAATTCGATATATCGATAGTGCCATCGATAGTATCCCAGCTCTAAGGTTTCACAAGAAATTAAAGTGATGTGTGAAGTGAAGTGACGTTACACGAAATTCTAAGATACTTCCTCTGTTAGTGTTTTATTTTGCGCATCCTTGTAAATTTTGTTTAGTCTTTTTAAAGAGTTGCAATTTTTTCAAGTTTGATTAAAAATAGGTTTTTAAAAATTTTTTTTACTATACTTTTTTTAACTTTTCTGTACGTTTCACATTGATAGTGCTTGAAAATATTGTTTACCGTTTTGAAATCTTGACCATTACAATTTTGTTTCCAATTTAAGGCCTCTTTACAGTTCAGATGGAATGTGACATGGAATCGAATTTTTCATACAAATTTCAAAATCTGAGATGGAATAGATTCCATTTTCCATTTTATTTTTCATTTCGAGTTTACACTTCTAATGGAATTTTGTCAGAATTCTTAGAAAAGCCTCATATGTTTAACATAGATTAAAACAATTTTGAATAGAAGCCCTTGTAAAATTTAACATTTGTTCGACAGTAACAGAAATTCGATCTGTTAATATCATTACATTTGACTCGATTGGAATATGTGAGTGGGTACATATTCCATGAGAGTACATATGAAATTTATGGTGTTCATTCCCTTTCCTGTCAAAGTGTTTATGAGTTTGAAAAATGTCGGGAGCAAGAAAAAACAAAAAGAGGAATCAAAGCATCAGCCGCGAGGAAACCATTCAACTGATAGAAGAAGTAAAATCACGCCCGGAGATATGGGACTTAACCAACAAGAACCATAGCAATAATAATGCTGTTAGAAGTGCTTGGGCAGCCGTTAGTGCTGCCACCAACAAAGAAGGTGAGGAATTTTTATATCAATAAAAATTGGATGTGATCATTAAACATTACTTTGCAGTCAACGAGGTCAAGTCAACCTGGCTTTCACTTCGTGATAGCCTTCGCTATCACACGAAGAAGAAAGCAACACAGATTCTAAAAAGTGGTAGCGCTGGTGGCTCAAAGAATATAAACCTAGTCGAATCCGAAAAGACGGGCCCCGAGATAGACTGGGAGATGGCAGAGCATATGTCATTTCTGCAGGGGCTGTCTCACAAAAGAAAGTAAGTTACACAAACTGAAACCATTGTTATTAATATTATTTTTTCAGGACATTTGCTTCTGTGCACGCCCCATCCACTTCAGAAAAACGTGGTTGTGATAGCCCGGAAGAGGACACTGAGGAGGCTTCGTATGATTATGTAAGCTTCATAAAATTCCTATTTATTCTTTATTGATTGTGATCGGACAAATCGCAGAGACCAAAGAAGAAGAAAAACAGTGACCCAATAGGAACCGAAATTGGAGAACTGCTCAAGTCAGCGAAGGACCTCATATCGGTGGTTCAGACCAAGCAAGACAACAAGACAACTGGATCCCTGAAAAATGTCGAAATGTTTTCTTTTTGGGACAAGATGATGGAGGACTTTTCCGAGGAGGCCCTACAACAAGTGCAGGTGAAGGTGACGGCAGCAATAGCTGAAATTGGAAAAAAAGATCGTGCTGCCAAAAATAAAAAAAATAATAAAAATTAAAATTGTGTCTTCTTTATTTTATATGTGGAACGTTTCTCATTCATTGGTTTCTTGGACAAAGGCTGCCCTGTTCTGCCATGGTACGGCGCCTGCGTTTGAATTTATATGAGCACATAACTGGTTTCTAATCATCTTGCCATAATCATTTGGCCTGCCAATATATGGCTGCAGCGATGTTAAATTGTTGTGTTCAATTGATTGTTCCTCAAAACCGCCTATGTAATCAACTGTGGCATTTCTTATTAAAAAATTATGAAGTAAGCAGCATGCCGTAGTAACCTTTTGTGCTGTCTTTGGTTGACAAATAAGAGTTCGTTGCATGCATATCCACCTCCAGCTTAGTATGCCAAAAGCGTTCTCTATGCATCTACGAGCACGGCTCAAGCGATAGTTGAAGATGCGCTCCGAGTTTCCAAGATTTGTTCCGCTATAAGGCTTCATAATTCTCTTGCAAAGTGGAAATGCATCGTCACCTATTAAAAAGTACGGAATTCGATTTCCATTAATGATGCGGTCATTTGGAAATTCAAGTCTGTCGCCGAGAATATCTCTTCCAAATTGTGATGACGAAAATACATTTACATCACCTTCGCTGCCATACGCTCCTACGTTAATGTAGGTAAATGCATATTTAGCATCACAAATGGCCATAAGAACTATGGAATGAAATCCTTTATAATTATGAAAGGCACTACCACTGCTTGCTGGGGCCCGGACAGCAATATGTTTGCCATCGACGGCAAAATTCCACTCGCTTTCGAAGTTGGTAGCGTAATTAAGCATACGATTTTTTTCCCAGGCCGGGATTTCGCCGATCAACTCTTTCGCAATAGCGTCACTAACAGCAATGACAATACCACTCATACTGGCCTTGCTAATGCGATATGTTGATGTTACATGTCTTTGGATATCTCCAGATACAAAATATTCCATCACGATTGCGAATTTGGTTAGAGGTGGTATCGCGTCAGCTCGAGTTTCCCGTAGTGGCTGCAAATGCTTCTCAATTTTCGAAAAAATATTCATAAAATTTTCATAAGACATTCGGAAATTTTCCAAGAACACTGGTGGGTTATTGATCATATCGACAAAGTCCTTAGCGAATCTGCCTTTTGTGTTTCGATCCTTAAGATAGGGATTGACCCAGCACTTGCGTTTGCTTCTTTGGTTTTTTTCACGTTTTTTTTTCAACAACGCCGCGATAGCCAGATTATTAATTGCAAGTTGCAGTAATAGTACACTAAAATGAAGACAGTAGTGTATTAGTTGCCATCGAGATTATTGCGCTCAGAATGTATCTAAATACGTACCACTCATCATCCATTCTAAAAGAATACAAATCGTTTTTTCCGTTTAAATTTGATAGAACGAATTTGTCAGGGCAAGTACGTTTCAGAATGATAACAGGAAATGTAAACAGACATGAAATAAGAAAAATTCCATTTCAAAAATTCCTACTGAGGTGTAAAGAGGCCTTTAAAGACAATTTTTTCAAAGGACTAAATTTGTTCTGTAAAATCTTTTAAAAATACTTACGAATGTTTTAAGTTTAATTTTTTCAAACATCTTTTTATACCCTTGCAGAGGGTATTATAATTTTGGTCAGAAGTTTGTAACGCAGTGAAGGAGACGTTTCCGACCCCATAAAGTATATATATTCTTGATCAGGATCAATAGGGGAGTCGATATAGCCATGTCCGTCTGTCCGTCTGTCCGTCTGTCCGTCTGTCCGTCTGTCCGTCTGTCCGTCTGACCGTCTGTCCGTCTGTCCGTCTGTCCGTCTGTATGTCTGTTTCAATACCGTTTGCGAGCTCAGTTTAAAAGCTAGCGCCTTGAAACTTTCACAGTCGTCCTAAAACATGTGTACGCAGATCAAGTTTGAAAGCCGACCCGATCGGACGTCTATATCCTCTAGCTCCCATAGGAACAATCGGATATAGCTTTCACAAAATGAAGATATTTCGCTCAGTGTAAGAGCTATTGACATGAATCTTTCCAAATCGTATTTTTATGTGCGTACCTTGATGAGGGTAAAAGCGCGTGCCGATCGGACGTCTATATCTTATAGCTCCCATAGGAACAATAGGGTGAAATCGGTCAAAATTTGACGTTTTTCAGGATATTTCGCGCAAAATATAAGCTATTCCCATGAAACTTTCCAAATCGTATTTTTTTGTGCGTACCTTCATTAGGGTAAACCCGCGTGCCGATCGGGCGTCTATATCCTATAGCTCCCATAGGAACAATAGGGTGAAAAATTTAAAAATTATATTTTTTCAATTATAAAATATTTTGTTGTTTATTAATTCATGTTGCTAGTCTAGTCAAGTTTTAATTCGTAAAATCTGCAAGGGTATTAAAACTTCGGCTTGCCGAAGTTAGCTTCCGTCCTCGTTTAATTTAATTTTTAGTTTTTTCCTTTTAACTCTTAAAAATTGATTCGATATTAGAATTTCGTGTCCCGTCATAATTGGTGTAGTTCTATTAAAGTACCTACTACTACTGAAAAACTGCAAGTACACCATAAATCTTTTTTATATTATTTATTATTAAAAATATAAGAATAAGTCTTTTTATAGACTTTTATTTATAATATTTCAATATCGACATATATATATTTATTCATATATTCTTAGTGATTATATAACATTTTAGTAATAATAATATAGGCTTGTGTTTTAATTTATTTAAAATTAAATATATTAATATATACAAAATACTTAAATTAAAAACAAACTGTTCCCAAATATAATTTTGACTTAAATAAAAGCATTTTCAAATACATAAATTTACAAAAACCATTAATTATAAAAAACTACTAACGCTCCCTGAGTATTGAATTTTGTGTGAGGGTATCCGAACTGTATTTTAGGGTCATGGAATCAGTAAATTTGCACTTAAGAGTTTCATATAGGAATCTTTTGTTCTACGACTTTTGGAAAAAGCCGCTACTTTAGAGGGAAAAAGCTAAAAATAGCTACATTTCGTTTGTTTGTAAGTTCTACACTACTAAAGGTACAGACATGTGCTATACTAGAGCTGGCATAACATCGATAGTGACTCTAAAAATAAGTACGCTTCCTAAAATTTATTCATTCGGCACGCTAGAACAGAAAATTTTCGTGTAGATATTAAATATTTGCTAAAGCGGGCCGAACGAGTAAATTTTATTTTTTGTCACAAAAGTTGATATCAGAACTTTTGTACGTTGAAGGTGCGATCGTCACTAGTTTTTTACCTCGTTAAGAGGTGTTTTTATTTGATTTAAAATGGGTGCGAATTTACCCTAAGCATAGGGTGGCGAAATTTCCCCAGACAGTACTTTTTTAGAAATAATTATTTTTCTTCCGAAATTAGGCGCGAAGTTAAAAATCACTAACGCAGAAATGCACATTATAGCACTGAGATTTATATATAAAATATTGTATCTTATTCCTTTTGAATTGTGGCATACAGAAAAAATTTCGTCGAGAACTAAATGTAGCTTTTGAACTGTTAAAACACATTTAATATTATAGCTTAATTATCTTGGCCTTCTGTGCAAAAAAAATGCATTGGTTGTGTCATGCCGTCTTGAGGGACTAAAACAAAAAAATTATATATTTTTAAGACTTATGGATTCCGAGATATTGCTGGTGACGAAATTGCCCCTGTGACGAAATTACCCCACTCTCCCCTACATTTCAAATAAGCCAGAAATAAGCAAATATTAAAATTGTTCACAAGAAATTTTCACAAACAAACCTTAAACAGACCGCAGCGTCGCACTGTGGGGCGCCTAGAACAAAAAGCCTGCCAAAATGGTTTTTTTTTTTAAGATTTTCCAAAATGTTGCAATGCAACTTTAAAAACAATTCAATTCTCTATACAAATCCAAAGGAAAGAGTGATCTGTGATGAATGGTTCTCCCACTACAGATTTATAAAGTGGATTTTTCGAAACATAATTTTAGCCAATAAGAAAAAAAGGTATTTTTACACATCTTTGAAATTTTTCTGAAAGCGCCCAAGGGCCTAAGTTGTATATGTAACGATTGAAATTTTAAGAGCAACCAATTCTTAAAATATTAAAAAAACTATAAATATTTTAGATACATAATTACTATTTTTTTTTAATTTTTTAAAAGGGGTCCAAAAAAATTGGGATTTTTTGGATATTTTTAGACGTAAAGTAGTGTTACACCCTAGATCCCCGTTTAATCTTCTCTTTTTTAAAAAAAGTTTATATATTTAACTACATTTTCTGAAAAAATTAGCCTGCCCTTTTGTGCCTCTTCTGAGAAAACCGCAGTTTAAGTTAGCAAGAAATGTTCATAATTTGAAATATCGTCAGCCCTGGTTATCCGCGCGCCCTAACATCATGAAGATATTTTACTTATGTGAAGGTATTGATCAAGATAATGATAAATTAATAAACAAATTTGGGTTTATAATTTTAAATTATGTTATTTTACTAAAAATACAGATATGAAATAAATACCGGTTTCTACCAGTTTTTTTTTTAAATAAGCTATATTTCCTTGATTGACTCTATGTCATCTATAAGATATCATTGACCAATTAAAAAAAAAGGTAAGCATAGAGCTAAAATGATAAATTATGCCTTAATCCCAATTTATATGAACCAATATTTAAATAGAACCGAGACATTCCCCTTTGTAATATGCGTTTATATGGCAGCTATAAGTTATAGTTGACTGATTTGAATAATTTTTTTTTTTCAAAAATCAAGTTAATATAAAAAAAAATATTGGGAAACTTAGAACCCTATAACTAATTTATTTATATTTTTTTTCTTAAAAAAACAATTTTTTTTTCTTAAAAATTTTCTACAACAAAAAAATTTCACTAAAAAAATTCACCTTATGATGTTTTTTTACATATTTAATTGCCTTTAAGAATGCCCCATCAAAAGATATTTGCTATAGGGCTCCGCTAATTTAAGGCAGACTTTTGGCTTTTTCGCCCCACTGTGCGTCGTTTACAAAATACGCTAATGTCAAACCATTAAAATACTAACGCGTCGAATAACATTAAAAAGCGGTAACACTTTTTCTGTTCGAAATGTCCAGGTTCCAAACCAAACTTACACCAGGAACGAAAATAGAAACTTCGGTATAGAAATTAAACTCACT